TTAAAGAAACTGAGTATAAATGCATATATCACACTTTTTTGCAGATAAATAGGAAACTGTTTAATTGTTCCACCTTTTGTGCTAATTTGTGTTGGTTAATCATATAAAATAAAATAAAATAAAAACATTTTAAGGGACAAAATGGTGACAAAAGGTGTGAAAATCTTTGCAAGGTACAATAAATTTATGATTTGGTCTTTTTTGTAAGGTTATGTATTGTTCATGCAAATGTGTGGCTTTCACATTATATTATATAGTTAGCATATTATAACTTAAATTAAGATGTAGATATAATAATTTTGGAAGAATAAAGGGGCAAATGAACCTGTGGTTACATGTTAGACACAAGCATCTAAATGTTTTGAAGTTTGTTTCTAAATTTTGTTTATTTGATTTCTGCTATTATTGGACTGAGCTAACATCAAACCTTTATTTCCTTCATTTAGTTTGTAGATGCAGCCTCAGTTGTGTTGCTGATTTAGGTTTTATAATTTCCAAGTTACATGGGATTTGTAGGACCTAATAAGCTTAATAACTAAACTCTGCCATGATGCCACAAGTAGTTTTTGAAAAAAATTATGTCCTCATATGAGGACAATAAGATTATCGTTGTTTTTTATTTTATTTTTTTGCAATTTGGGATTAGAAGATCCCAATTATCCTATACACAAAATTTCAGCTTTCTACTATCAGCAGTTCTCTAAAAAAGCAATGTGTCCATATGAGGACACTGGGTCTATATTCTGAAATGACACAATAAAAAACATGATTGGCTGAAACATATAAATCCTTTTTATTTCCGACATTTGGGCTGGAAGTGTCACTGGATATTTCACTGAAGTCCAGTGGCTCATCCAATGCAGCACACTGGGCATTCACTGGATTCCAGTGAAATGCCCAGCAAAACTGGATTCCAGTGAAATTTCAAGTGAACTCCAGCGAAATATCCAGTGAAGTTCACTGGATTCCAGTGAAATTTCCAGTGGATTCCATGGATTCTAGTGAATGGAATCTTTGAATTCTATCACTAGATTCCAGTAAATGGAATACTGTGGATTCCGGTGGATGGAATCTGGTGAATTCATTCACTAGAATCCATTGATTCCAGTGAATGGAATCGTCCTGGTCTTCAAACTTTCATCATCAATGACAACTTTTAGGTTGCTCCTCAGTTTGTGGAACCGATCACGTGACATTGCATCATTGATGGCAGGTATTCACAAAGTATGTGACCAGAATATCTGTGAAGAAAAATGCTTGCAAGACATTAAAACCGATGCCCCATAAAAGTGATGATCTCATCAACAGAAGTATTGACAGATTTCCCAGTCTTAGCAGTTGACATTGCGTTTGTGTAGTCAGCAAGTAGTTTCATTAGCTCCAAGTCTATTTACTGTCCCACATAATCCTGTGGTAGCCAATCTGCTTGACATCTCATCTCTCAGGTCATCATCTGTACCCTGAAACTGAGCTAGGTTAGGGGCGAAAGAGGCAGACTTCCAGCGATCACCACTTTCAGCTTTTCCAGGTCATTAACTGGACTTGGGTTCTGGCTCACCATGTATTTGTTTACGCCTAGTTCTATTTACTTCTGAATGTGGTAGTTCATCCCTATTCCTACTGGCAGTATCGTCACTGGTGAAGCAATAAGCTTCTGTTGCATCAGGCAGTGGTTAATCATCACAATCCTCTTCAGGTGAATCTGGGGAAAAATACTCATCTTCACAATCTTCCAATGATTGTTCCAAATGCAAGAGGTCCATATCAGTAATATGTTCATCCACAATTTGATAATTCTCTTCTTCATCTGATAAATCTTCATCCTCAAAGTTTTCTACAATTCATATACCGGTAAGCAGTTGTTCTGCTTTTGACAATCTAAGTTTTCTTTAATGTTAAATTAATAATAAATTCAGATCCAATTCTATACCAAACTTATGTGGCTAATGTAGCTGGCAAACAAATTTTTTGGTTGAAAAATGTACTACTTGCAAGAACAATTTAAATAGCTTTAATATTCCATATTCATCTAATCAAAATATGTCATCAAATATAACTTACAATAACCATTCATATCTGTAAACTTATAAATATTCCCACATTCATCCAATCACATGACACAGACAATAACAAAATATAGCCCTGATATCCTCAAATGTGTACTTTATCTTTACCGACATTGTGCTTTGCTACTGTTGTTTTTTTTTTTTTCAAATATGCATGTTTTTTGAAGCTAAAGATGTAATTGTACATAAAAACAGTTATTTCAAAGATAAAATATTATTAGTATTTTTACCTTGGCCATATTTGTTACAAGAGTTGTATGGAAGCTTTTCACTGGGATTCCCACCATCTTGCTGTCATTCAAATGAGTGTAGTACTGTCATCTAACCCCTAAAGGATGCTGGGAATGTCTACTAATGAGGCCAGTGGGTTAAAGTTGAAAAAAAATAAAGTATTAGAGGCAGAGAGGCACATATGCAATGTCCTCGGAGGTGGACGCAGGGTCTCAGGAGGATACACCAAGGCTGACACTTAACGAGTTTGATCCCCAGATTCAGTCACCTGCTGTGTCACTGAAATCCTGCATCATAAAACTGTGAACCCAAAGAGGTTCAATAGAGGTGCAGGTTCACTAAGCTCCAACTGCATCTGGAGGTTTTGCAGCAAAATGTGTCCAGTTCAGTTGAAATCCAGTGGTAAGAATCTGTGGCAAGAAAAGCGAGCATCTGTGTGTCGGCTGAGAGGAGCAGTTATTTAATCTGTGTGTGCAGAAAGATGTTGCTTTATCATCCTACAGAGAGTATATAAGTGGATTTCACCAAAATGCTTTTGCTTTGCACGGGCTAAAAAGTGAGGATTAGTAGAAAATCAATTCAGGGCAGAATCAGACAACAATAAAAAAAAAAAGAAAGAGAGAAAGAGGGAGAGAACAAGAGTTCATATATATATATATATATATATATATATATATTTTTTTTTTATAGCACTAAGTGAATCTTTGAATTACTTTTTGACCTCAGTAAGAACCCACCAACCCCCATCTCCTGATTACATCCTGCAGGGAAGGAATACATTTTATCCAACCAAAGCTTAGTTCTCCTAGTGAAAAGATATCTAAGGCAGCTTGCTGGTTGGGCCATTCTCTGCTTAGCTTTTATCTCTGTGTAACTGCATTAACACTGGACCAGACCTGGCCTGGCCCAACCAGGAACCAACACAGCTACAAAGAAGAAGATTCTCGCATTATTAAAGAAAACAAAACTACTACAAGACTGTGCTTGTGCCAGTTTCACAATAAGTACAGGATTGCTGGATGATACAATGTTGCAATCAGGTCTGAAAAATGTTCTGAATGCAATCATACATTTCCTTTCCTGAAAATAGCAGCTTTCTATTGGTTTTGTTTAGGGAATTTAAATGCTGATATGTGGCGTGGTGGATCTGTAATTCTAGCCTTTATACTCTTAAAGTTCAAAGCCATCACGTCTAGCTCTGCTTAAAGGAAAGGGGGGAAAGGAACACTGGTCTACCTAGGTTAGTTTTGACCAGAACATGAACCAGATGACCTTCTGCTTAACTTGGAGGGTTGAAGGTCTAAAGGCCTCATACAATAAACAAATTATGGCGAGTATATGTTTTTTGATAAACCTGAAAATCCATTTCAATGGAAGTTTCAGTACAACATAAAACCCAATAAAGAAGATTTTTGATATAGAAAAGTTTTTTGTTTTTTTTCTAAGAAAAGAAAAACTGAAAAAAAAAATGACTGTTCACAGAGGACTGTATTCAAAAATATTCTGGAAATATTAAGTGGTAGGAAAAATATGTTTAAAAAAAAAATAAAAAATGATTCAAGCAATATATATATCCACAGCCTTCAGCAGATTGTGAAATAAAACCTATTCAAGAATCATTCCAACCGGTGAAGCTTGGAATTATGTGGCTTCTGGGTCCCCTAAAACAATAAGTAGCACAGATGTGTCCCTCCAACAAATGAAACTTTGCTTAGTTGGGAAATGTTCAGTACATCACAAAACATTAGTAGACTTGGGAGAAAACCTATTTAATACACTGGGCTAAATACAAGACATTTTCAAAGAGCAACTACATCCCAATGTTACATAAAAATACTAATTTTCTGAATCAATGATAAAATATTTGACAAAATAATTTAGGTACTGCAAAAATAATTCTGCAGGATTGTTTAAGTTTCACTTCTAGTTTGGACTCCATCTACGTTGGTCTTTTCCACATTCCATGTGTGATTTCAAAGAAAGCAGGAGGGAAAAAAAATTTAAAAAAAAGTTTGCACACCACTGTTCCAGTGCTGGTGAGCTGATAAGAATTAACCAGACCAAGCAATGCAGTCAGGCAGAAGGGCACCATCAAAGCAACCTGGGTTCAGCAGAACCACAGGCTGGTCCTCTCCATGCCGCATCGCACAGATTCAGTAATTCATCCTAACAGAGCATCGCAGTCCATTTATTGTACAGGACATGCATGTAAATGAGCCCGAACACTTTGCTCTACTAGGCCACCACTGCCTAAAAGATAGAAAGAATCTCTATACCAGAAACAGCCACCTCTACTCTCTGAGCCACTCAGACAGGCGCATCTAGCAGGAAAACACATCTGTAAGAAAATTCCTTTTTATTGGTCTACATAAACTCATTTATCAAACCCATGTTGTAGTTAAAACAATAAAAGCCATTTTTTTTTTTTTTTTTTTTTATGAATTTCAACTTCATATCAGGAACAAATTTGTGGGTTTTTATTAACCACAACTAACTTATGTTCTCTAGTGAAAACAATATATCATAGTTATTTCATTCAAGAATTAAACTTTCAAAAACATTCAGTAGGAACTTCAGTCTCTGTAGTCCTAGGAATTTTGTTCTGGTGTCTTATAAGTGGCAAAGCGCCATCTGGTGGCTTCTTCTATAACGCAAAATTTGAAGATGGACACAAAAACATTTTCAAATACGTTGGTTTATTTAATTCTTAAGTAGACTCAGTTTTCTATTGCAGTAATTATATACATAAAAGAAGCCTTCAGGTGGAGTTCCTGTAGAAGGACAACATGTCATCTAAACTCTGAGGAGCACTTCCAGGAGGCTGCTGAGTCTGAGTCTCCTCTCCTGGAGGAGGTGGCTCCTGTGGAGCATACTGGGCCGGGTACTGGTACTGTGGGATGAATGGAGGATGGGAATGTGGCGGTCCTGCAAACTGAAAGGGAGGAGGGGGAAACGGGGGATAGAAAGGTGGCGGTGGTGGGTACTGGGGAATAAACGGTGGAGCTGAAGACGAGGAGCTCCCTGCAGGAGTGGGTGGTGGAGACTGAAAATATGCAGGGGGATCCTCCTGCTGAGGCTGAGGAGGTGAAGACACAACTGGAGGCTCTGGTTTGGTCTCACTTTTAGTGACCTCTTCAGGATATTTAGTTGATTTAAAGAGCATGTTGGATTTATTCTGCTGACTTTTAGTATTTCCCAGTTTTGGTCTTCTGTCTTCACTGAAGTATGCAGAGGGAGGGGCAAACTCCGACTCTCGCTCCTCTCGAAGTCGATTTTTCCACTCACTAAACATGAATTCTGGAAAAAAAAATAATAAGCAAACAGTTTTTACATTAGGAAATTCAACGGTCATCAACTTGACAGCAGTTCTGCTGTAACATAGTTACCTTACAAAAGTCTAAATCAAAGGCTATCAGAGAAAAGGGGAAGAAAAACACATACAAAACGAATCCTAGTCTTGCTATAACTATGTTATGTGCCTTTGGTGCAACACACCTTAATCAAGTAATTCGATAACTATGTTATAGCAAGACTTTTTTCTCCATCTTATACTTATGCATTACTTTGTGTTGGTCTGCTGCATTAAATCCTAATAAAATACACAGCTAGTTTGTTGTAGCATCACAAAAATGTTTTAGGAAACCTATTATTTTTCCAGAGGACTAAATTATTCATTTTGAAGGGTTGTTAAATCCTTCAACCACCGGTTGAAGGATTTAACAGCCAGCTCAGCACTGTCAGGTAGGTTAACTCAAATAGCTGATATTAAAGAATGAGTCTTTCTGTAATGTCAGAACAGGACTTAGGAAATGGTTAAAAATTGAGCAGGGGTGGGCAATTCCAGTTCCTGGGGCCGGTATCCTGCAACTTTTTTATGTGCCTTTGGTGCAACACACCTTAATCAAGTAATTTGATAATTGAGAGAAATCGACTGCATACTGAGGAGGTAACTCGGGCCATTTAATTCAGGTGTGTTGGACCAACGATGGATCTAAAAGTTGCAGGATACCAGCTCTCCGGAACTGGAATTACCCACCCCTGTTCTAAAGCCTTTATAATTTGCTGTGGGTTTTACTGCATGATAAATCTAAAGACTCCCATGTAAACATTGTAAATTGTGCTGGTATTTTCTTGTTGTACAGCTTGCTAACAAGTTTCAACACTTTACAACCGTCTTTCCATAGCAGCTTAGCATTTAATTGAACTGATGCCTTTGTTTCTAGGGATGCATCGATCCGATATTTTTATCGGTATCCGTCCAGATATAAAGAAATAAAACTAGATCGGTATCGGTGACAATTGACTCGATATAAAGGCCGATCTATTCATTCTAACTCTATGCTATGGTCTGCCGTCATACAGCAGTGCAACAACACAACACAGCCATATTGCTTATGATGGAGCGAGCGAAAGTATCTGCGGTGTGAAGGTTTTTCACGCTCTCTCAGCCTACTAGCCAATGGCTATGTGCAATATTTGTGGGAGAAATGTTCCAAGAGGCGGTGTTAAATATTCAAACTATAACACCACCAACTTAATGAAACACCGCCAGAAATTTTATAACAAGGAACATGCTGAGATTATCGGACTCGGCAAACAAAAAGGAAGCAGCGGGAAGCAGCTAACTTTGATGGAAGCAAAGGAATCAAGTGAAATTTTTCCATGTAACAGTATACAGGCCAAAAAAAGTAATAAATAAATCACAGAGATATTTCATAATGATAATGACACTTTTTTTACATGTTGACCAATCCAGGGAACTTTTGGTTTAAGATTTTGTGCACAGTTGTTACATGAATGAGTCATAACATTTATATTTGGGTTGTTTCCTATGTTTTAAAGAAAAGGGAAGTCAGGTCCTATGCACAGAAGAATGATCTCATTTTTTTTTTTTTTTCCACACAATAAAACCATTTTTAAGGTAATAATTCAGTGCCGTTTTTGGTATTGGCATCCGCCGACATCAAACTTCAAATATCGGTATCGTATCGGAGGTGAAAAAAGTGGGTCGGTGCATCCCTACTTGTTTCATTCATGAATTATTAAGGTTACAGTTAAAAGGTTTACCTTTGCCTCTGTCCCATTCTCTGACATGGGGAACTCCAGGTTTGGTATCCCTTCTCTCCTGAATCTCCACTTCCACCTTCTTTAGAGTGCTGACCTCTGGTGGCACATCTGATGGAGGGAAAGGTCCAACTTCTTCATCCTCCCCTTCCTCTCCTGTAACAAACATTCAACATCAGTTCTTAACTTGTATCTCTGACCGAAAAACAGGAGTATTCAATGCTAATCCACAAGGGGACTTTCTTTGTGAACTCAAAGGCTAACCTTGATTTTCTTCTTCTTTCTCCTCTTCCTCAGTGCCATCCATCTTAGCCTTCTTCTTCCTCTGCCTAACCTTGGCCAGTCGAGCCCGCAGCATGGCCTGCCTCTTCTCTTTCAGTCGTTCTCTTTTAGTCCGCTGATCTGTGGTCTGAAGGAGAGAAAAGACAGAATGTAGCAAGTTGGACTTTTAAGATCCGCTATGGAAGTTTAGATGTTGGGTTGCAGTAACATGTAGAAATAAAACAAAATGTTCAGTATATTAAAAGATAGAAGAAAGAAAAAACAAATCATGTTGAAGTTGCAATAACTAGATGATTAACCTCATAACATCATGAAGTCCCTGTACATCCTTATGTGACAGTATTTTGTGACCCGTCTTTCTCTTCTTACACACCCTACTGCTAGATTTATCCTTCATATATTTCGTAATCCAATGAACCTGATTTCTATTTTTTTCGATTCCATTTTAACGCACCTGGTCTCTGAGCATGTCCAGAGTTTCTCTTTGCTTTCTGCGCTGTTCTTGATCCTGAGAGAAAGCAAAGTATCCCACACCAAGCTCTCTCGCCTCTATGATTGGTGAAAATAAAAAGACAGAATTAGTCACTCTTTTTTTTTTTCAACATAAAACCAAACCAGACTTCAGTAATGTTAACACCCCAATTCGAAGACCAATCCGCAGAATAAGAAAAGCCAACAATGCTTATGGCTTTAAGTTAAAGGCATAACTTTAGCAGCAGGTATCAAAGACAATCTGTCTCTCTTGGTTTTTGCCTTCCTCAGAACTTGCCTGCTTTAAAAGTCTGCCCGCTGGATCTAAATCCATGAATCTGAGTTTATTGCAGCGTTTTGATTGCCTGCTCACCTTGTGCTCTAATGTCCTCGTAGTGGATCGGTCCGACCGGCCTCTTCATGGCCTCCTCCTCCTCCCTCTCCCACTCCTGCCTCTGCAGCTCTCGACGCATGTCCTCTGAGAGTAACGTCTTATCACTGGAGACTGTTCTATAGAAACCAGGAGAAATAAACAAACTGAACTTAATATCTTTAACCAAAGGAGCAAACAAAGAAATGTCTGACTTTCAAATCATCACCTCTGAGCAAAAAATACACGTGTAAGCCAAGAATATCCAATAAGGCACTTTCTTTAAGTCAATTAACCATTTCTAATGTAAAGAAAAAACATCAATACACTTGTACCAAAAAAAACGGATTTATATAAACAGGGGTCTGAAATCTAAGGCTGTAAAACAATAAGCAGTGGGCCTCAAATGATTTACATGTAGATGTCTCCAGTTAGGTCGTCACTCAGTGCTTATTACACATCCCTTTTTTACTAAAACCTATTTTCTTACGTATACTAAACAGCTTTTAAAGTCATATGAAGTTTTTACATATTAAGACATTTTTGATGAGAAGAGTCATTCACAAAAACAACCTAAATACCAAGTAAATTCCTTTGTCTTCATGGGTTGATCTGCCTACACTGTAACTGCCCGACCCTGTGAAATTCCTTCTTTACTACATTCATGAACAATCTTTATGATCTTCCTCTTCTCCACTCAACCAGAGTTTATCCTTAAAGTCTTCATAAGGAGAAGACGAAAGTTAGGTCAAATATATACCCCTTTCCATTAAGGTCCTGGTCCATTTTCATGAAACTTGGCAGATCTTTTTTCATGCATCTTCGAGACCGGCCCAAAGCATCCACATAATCCACCCTAAGCAAAAAAAAGAGAAGATTTCTTACCTTTTTTAAACATTGTTTATAAGGCACCCAGAATTGTCTTTGTAGGTTTTTTGGCAACATGTCAAACATGAACCCCGAAAAAGATGCAGTTTAGAAAGTGAAAGATTTATTGATTAAATTCAGATTAGGATACATTACCATTCCTCATCTGGATTCTGAGGAGGAGGGATGGGAGACAAACAGGCCTTTTCTTCCTCCTCCTTCTCTTTCTGTGCAAATGTTTCTCTCTTCTTGTCAATTATCTTCTGGGTGAAGTCAACAAGGTAAAGTCCCTCCGTCTCTTCATCTGATGAACAACAGAACAGGTTTAACACAGAGTCACAAAAAGCTCTTTGATGTGCACAAAGCCTTGCAAAATAGCAACACTACAACAAATCTTAATGTATGTTTTGTGGATTTTTATGGAATACATATGCACAAATATGAAGTGAGTGGCAGGTGAAAGGTCTTGAACAGGATTTACAAATAAAAGTCTGAAAGTGTCCAAATCCTTTTAGACTTCACCCAATTTAGACATTTTCAGGGAGCACTGTTTAATCCCACATTTCAGAAAAGAGTATGCCCCAAATAAAAACGATGGAGATATATCTAAACTGATAGATGTCACAAGAGTGAAGTAGCCAAGAAGACTCATGATAGTCATCCAAGACGAAAAGCATGACATTAATTGACAATTTGCAGGGGGGGGGACCTGTTGTTAAAAGAAATCAATAAGAAATCATAACTGTAGATGTCTTCAAGCCTCCAAGGAGACAGAACAAGTAATTGGAAGTGCTCTAGTGTGATAAGACCAAAAGTGAACTTTCTAGCCTATTTTCAAAATGTTAAATGTAGAGAAACATGACACTCATGAAACATGGTTGTGGCTGTATCATGTTGTTGGGATGCGTCCATGTCCCTGTGAACAAAAGCAGCCTATCCTGCTGTTGTTTTTATACGCAAGGAACAAGGAACAGAGGTGGCGGAAAGACTCAAAAGGCTTCCAGTTGAACAAAAACTTTTGCTCCATTTTTTTTGTTTTGAAAAGTCGCCCTTCTAGGATAAAACAAACTAAAAGAAAACTACTTAAGTACAGAATGGTTTAGATTAGATTAATGTACACTTAGGTGTATAAATGCCCCAGTCAAAGCACAGATCTAAATTCAATTGAGAATCTGTGGTCAGATAAACATTCCCCATTCACACTGACTTTTCAGATTTGTAAAAGTACATTAAAAATCTATGCCTTCTGTTTGCATTACTCTGCATGGCTTTGTCACATGAAATCCCATTGAGCTTTATGGTTATAATGTGATATATTCTATGAAAGTTAAATGGGTAACAAATAGCTTTATAATGCATCAACCTGGGAAGTCTCCTTTTGTCATCTGCTCATAGAGTCTGGCCTTCTCCTCCAGTTTGCGCCTATGGTAAATCAGAATTAGACGTCAAACATAATGGTCACCTCTATGTGGAAGCATCAAAACCCTTTAATCAAAAATAAACTAACCTGGCTGTGTCCAGAGTGACTTGTTCCTCCGACAGCTGCTCTGCATCTTTGGCAGCTCGAGCTGAAACTCCAGCGTTTTGTTTACTCCAAATATTGGGCTTCTGAACGGATAAAATAAAGAGGAGAAAGGTAGAAATATATCTGGATCATGCAAAAAGCTCGTTATTATTACAGATCATCTGAAATGTACCTTGGAGTTTAGTTTGGTTTTTAGTCCAGCTTCGGCATTTTCCTGTCCGAGTTTCTCCCGTTTAAACTGTTCCTGCTTCCTGTACAGTTCAGCTTTAAGGTCAACCAGCTGTAGAAAAAATATTTTACAGAACACTTTTCAATATTTAGAAAGTACACCACTCTACAGCTAGCATTGACAGGGCCTTAGCTAATGTGTTTTTATGGTTTATACAACATAGAGGACAAAAGCCAAGTACTCATGATTAAATATTGATATCTAGTGACTTACAGTTGACGCTGCTACTTCAAGGGGTTTCTTCTTTTTATCCATACTGGCAATTTTCTCACAGCATAATTTAAAGCTAAACTATCACTACGTTAGCTCAATAGCTTCTTCTTCGTTGCTAATGGTTACTTCTTCACTTAGAAATTGTCTGCCGGTTGGTAAACCAACCTACCGCCACCTACCGGACGGTGTATGTATGTCGACACAAAAAAAAAACGGCAAACAGAAAATTGAGGCCATGTGCTGTGGAAATCGAAGAAATCACATATGTTTATTCCTCCTGGTGTATATGAATGAACTGAAAAACGATAAATAACTCTGTATTTTCAAAATATCTTATAAAATATTTTCTAATATTTTTTATATATATTATAGTTTTATTGCAAAAACTACGAATTCCTATTTTAAGATTTTTTTTTTTCCAAACTGAAAGAAATTTTAAGTGGGATTTACTTAAAATTTGGAATGTTTTTTAACTCAGAAATTCCAAGTAAAATTCACAAAGAAAACTGTATGGAACTGGCATTCACTAGCTATTAAACATTTCTCATTGAAATTTACTTACTATTTACTAGTATTTTTTACTAATACAAATCTAAGGCATTTGCTAAATGTAGCCTGAAATGTATACTATTTAGTTAAAAAAAAAAAAAAAACTTCATTGCTTACTTTTGTGTAAGAGGGATTTTAAAGTAATATTCACATACATTTTTAACATTACTTTATATTTGCCTTTACTTCTATTTAATATTTCTAATAATACATACTTACTTGACAATAAATACAAATAAAGAAGCAGTTCTCTTAAACGTCATTTGTACTTTTATTTTTCAACATGTGCATGTCTGCAAAAATACCTTTTAGGAACAACTTAGCATGAATATTAAAACTGTTATTCCTGAGCATTACTTTTAAGTCAGAACACTGAAACATGCTAAGCAGGATACTTTATTATTAAGTCATCTCCATGCTGTGCATTCGTTCTCTCCAGACAGTGAACCAGGTGAGTCTAATCTGCACATTTTAATTCACAGTGCACACTTGGATCTCTTACACGGTTCTTCTGTTATCTGGCCTGTTTAGCCAGGCCAACAACGACCCTAACAACTCCTCTTTACAGATGCATGGGCCAGTATCAGGTTTTGCAGGCGAACAAACGACCTAAAAGACTCCGTGTTACTAAGGGCTAGACCTGTTTTTTTGGTTCAATTTTCATGTTTTCTAAGCCATAACAAGGCTTTTGTTTGGGCCACTCTATAATCTATAAGCCTGGAACTCAACGCTACTCCAGACATTTTTAATTGAGAAAGCTTCCTGGATGGGAAGCAAAATGTCTTCAAACTTTGAAAACAAAGTCCAGTGTTTTATTTTTGTTTTGTTTTTTCCACTTTTTTGGAATGATATCACCTGGATGATTGAGAATATTCACCAGCATATATTATTAAAAGGACTTTAGATGGTGGGGTATAAAAATATATTTTAGGGACAAAAAAGAAAAAAAAATACTCCGTAAAAATTCAAAAAAATTCAAAAAATATCCACTGGACTTGGTTTTCAAGATTCGAAGACGTTTCGCCACCTCTCCAGGAAGCTTTCTCAATTCAAATGTCTGGATCCACAGTGAGTTTGAGTCTTATATGGACAAGGCCTTGTATTGCTTGGAAACATGCAAGCAATACATGTTGCATGTTTCCAAGCAATACAAGGCTTTGTCCATATAAGACTCAAACTCACTGCGGATCCAGACATTTGAATTGAGAAAGCTTCCTGGAGAGGTGGCGAAACGTCTTCAAATCTTGAAAACCAAGTCCAGTGGATATTTTTTGAATTTTTTTGAATTTTTATGGAATGACTATGACCTGGATGACTGAGAACCTTCATCAGCAAAAAAAAAATACTGTTCAATCTGAAAAACTCACATGAAGAGAAAAGACAATTTGGAGAAATTTATTGATTGTATCAATAAATTTCTCCAAATTGTCTTTGTAGCACAACCCATGGCAGGAAACATAGCGCTTAATGTTTCTGAAACTGGTGGTGGAGTGGAGATAGATGAAGCTCCAAGAATTTAAAGTTTTTTTTAAGCAACATGCCACAATTCTAAACTAAATACGAAGTGAAATGTGGATAAATCTTTGATTATTTAGGAGAGTATTGAATCAACCCTAATTGTATATATCCATAGAGATCCTATTGTCCCCTTGCATACATTTATTTAATCTCCCTTTGGGATAAATTAAGTATTTTTGAATTAAATTTGTATTTTTCTCAACGAGAAATTTAAACTGCCAAAATATTTATTACTAAACCCTATGAATGAAATTGGAAAAGCTATGATCAAATGAGCAGTACAGTTTGTAAAAAACCAAAACAAAGAAAAATTTTTTTATTTTCTTTCATTAAACCTTTGAGCTCAACTGAATATGCAAGTAATGCTTGAAAACATGCAGGAAATTTGTATTAATAAGCCTCATATTAAACAAGAATGCTCCCTCCTATCGATCAAACGGTGTTGCGACTAAAATCGTTTGTATATCACTATTGAAGGAGGAAACAAATGTCCATAAACAAGTTTATTGAAAATAAAAAGGATGTATTCTACAAAACATTGTTTTTAACTCCTTTATGTTTCTCTATATCTGGTTCACAGAAAAATCTTAAAACATCGACATGATAAAACATACAAAATCAATAAATATACATTTATCCCAGGATTAGTGTTTCCTTTTCAGAGCTAAAATCAATATTGACATCAGCAATGCATCTTACCGTTAGTCTAAAATCTGATGCACATGTTTGTAGTGTACAGTTGTTAGAAATCTGCTATTAAACAATGTGCTAAACTTAGCATCACAGTCTTCTGCATTATATAAAGTTCTTATGCTAAATAACCTTTAGGCTAGAGTAACTCATCAGATCTACTTCTTATTCAAGCTCCAAAGGCTTTTATGCAAACATAAAGCTGTAACCGTTCAACTCAATGAGATCGTACTGATCCATTTATAATGAATATGTCATGATTTGGCCTGTTTGCTCTCCCCTAATTAGTAATTCCTCTCACCTGCCCTCTTCCTTCCCAGCCTCAATT